TTAGGATCTACTTCTGGACTACCATCTGGAATACAATCTGGAACTAGAACAATGGAACAGTCCTTAAACAAACAGTCAGGAAGGTTCTAACTGGAGACAACAATACCTCCAGTCTTTAAACTGTTACACTACACACATATATATGGAGTAGGATAGAAACAGGTGTTCACATTCTACTGGTATAGAATGGGAATGTGTACAGAACATGGTCCATAATCCTGATGGGGAAATATTTAGGAAACCAGTTTCATGAATACTCTCAAGAACAAGAGTTTACAGCACACAAAAAGAAAGGACATTCCTCAGTGTAAATTGTTCTGATGTCTGCACACTAGTACTCCTTTGAAGGGTTAACATGCTTACACACACAGACACACAGTCATATTTCACAATATTCTCATTTTAACCACATGGGTTCACATCACAATGAATGAGAAGCAGGGAGTGAGTTTACCAAGGCCAGAAACTCATAACAGGTGCTTTGCACTGTTTGAAAATAAATGGGATTGACATATCTCCATCAATATACTGGGTGCTGGGATAAGTGTCAAAATACAATCATAGTTGACAATGGGCTTTCCATCTGTCACAGTATTAACATAAAATATACAACACTCACTCCAGTTTAAATCTTAATCCACACATGTGCTAATCTTATTCAGCAGAGTTTAGAAGTGGTGAGGGGTGAAATATAATTATTACATTTGTAAGGCCAGCTGCTGTAAAACTGAAATGTATTCCTAGTAATAGGGAAATATATCTACAACAATAATAATTACAAGCATGGGCCATACATCTCTTTTCTGCTTCTTCTTCTCTGACAGTGTGAATATTAAATTCCCTCACTGTGTTATTCACTTTTCAAGCTCTTAAACCAGTCTCAGAATTATCTGGACTAAATCTAAATTAAAGCAAGACAGTAATTTATCAAGCTAATATCACCATGAGGTGAAATCAACTTAGAAGGGATTAGGTATAATGAATATAAACTTCATTCCTATTTTTAATTGTCTAAGCTGGAAACAGGAACTGGCTGAGATTTCACATGAGGACATAATTATCACTTAATTAATATAAGTATAATTATTAAAAAATACCAATGCACGTTTCTAGTAGCAAATAAACATTAATTCAATCATCAAATCGATAATATGTTTGCATACATGTACATACTAGATCATAAACGTGGTTAGTGAGGATAAAGAAATTTATCATAGTTGTTGAGCCATGTGGGCATTAAATTCCAGAATTCAGCCTGTAAAATTAATTCAGAGGAATAAGCAGCAATACATCAAATTAAACTTATTCTTTTAACTCACCCCTGGCAGGGAATTCAAACAGAAAATTGGACCACAGGCAGACTAAGAACTTTAGTCTGAACCGGTCAATTTCTGAATTGAAAAGGGAACAGGAAGTCAGGAGGAAGTAACTCTTCAGTCCCCCTTGCACTACTCTTCGCCTATATTACCTTTCAACTCTTTAATTATAATTTTGCTACAATGAAGCATTAGGAAAGGGGTAAGAAATTTCTTAATTAGTCCAGTGTTATTATGCTAATTAAAAGCAATAGGAAAATGTTTAGAACTTTGATAATAATATTATCTAAACAAAGCACTTTTTAAAAGGACAGAAACAGCTGTCCAGACCAGCTCGTCACAGATGATATAATAGCTAGATGGAATGAATACATACGATGGAAAGAGAGCAGAATTACCTGAAAAAATACATTTAGAAGGTCCGCCTATACTAAAGAAAGAAGTTAGCAATGCTATTAAACATAAGAAAAAAGGAAAGTCAACTGGGCCAGATAAAACTTTCGGTAGAACAATTAGAAGTACTGGGGAAATTAGGGGTAGAAATATTAACTAAACAGATGAATGGCATTTATAATACTGAGTACATACCAAGTGATCTGATATAGTCTGTATTTATTGTGTAACCCAAAACACCAAGAGTAATTCAATGTGAACAATGTCGTGCAATCAACTCAACTAATCATGTCACTAAATTACTACTTAGAATTGTAATAGGAAGAGGCCAGAAGAAAAATGAGAATGGAGATGAGTAAAGAGCAGTATGGATTCATGGAAGGTAAAGGGACAAGTAATGCAATATTCATATTACGAACACAGATAGAAAAATCAAAGGAAATACAAAGAGACTAATATTTTACTTTATAGATTAAGCTAAATCATTGGACAAAGTTTAACATGAGGAGATGATAAAAATGTTGGAAGAATTTAATGTAGACGGGAAAGATCTCAGAATAGTTAAAACATTAACTGGAGCCAAGCTGCAGCAATTAAAGTGGGAAACAGATTGGGTACTTTTGAACAGATAAAACAAGGAGTACGACAGGGATGTGTCTTATCCCCAGACCTTTTCTCTGTATGTAGTGAAATAGTTTTGAGGGAAATTGAACAGAAAGCAGAAATACCAATTGAAGGAAAAACAATATAAACAATTTGTTTTATGCAGACGATAGAGTTTTGTTAGCTGAAAATGCAAATGATATACAAAAACTGTTAGATATTGTAGTGATGGAGAGTGCTAAAGACTTTCATTGAATATTAAGAAAACGGAAGCAAGGGTTATATCAAAGAAGAAGAGAATACCAAATTGTGATATCTCAGTTGAAGGAAGAAGACAACCAAGTCAATAAATTCAAATATCTGGAAACAGTCATCTTATGGAAAATATGTGACAGAGATTAAAAGCTGGTCAAGCGAAAGCTGCATTTCAGAAAATGAAAAATATCTGATGCACCAATTTGCTGTCATTAAATGTCAGAAAGAGAGGGCTAAATGATTACATAGAACCTGTTCTGTTGTATGGCAGCGAATCATGGAATGTCAGGGAACAAATTTAGAAGAATTTGGAAGCAACAGAGATTCGGTTTCTGAGACGAATGTGACGAATACATTGGATGGCCAGAGTAACTAACAACGATTGTTTTAAAAGAAGCTAAGGAAATTAGATCTCTATAAACAGCAATAAGAAAGAGACAAACACTGTTCTTATGAAACATAATGAGAAGAGAGACATTTGAGAACATCGTGACAACGTGAAAGGTCAGTGGAAAAAGGGGAAGAGGCAGACCAAGAAAGACGATGCTGGATGGGCTGAAACGATGGCATGGAGGGATATCATCAAGAGAGCTGTTCCAGTCAACCAGGGATTGTGATCAGTGGAGATTTATGAGTGGCAGGGCACATTATGATGATGATGACAGATTATGGACTTGACTACAGAATATTGACTTTACCACAGAATATTAACTTGACCTCAGATTGTTGACCTAACCACAGACTATTGACTTGACCACAGATTTTTAGCCATATTGATTATTTTAAAATGCAGATATGCTATTGTTGAATGTATACTGTTCAAAAAAAAAAAAAAAAAAAATGAACGCATAGTTATCCGATCGCGTGTTTTTATTATTTTATAAATAAAATATCGTCCTCGGGTATGTGAAAAGCAGACTCAAATGTTGTTTACCATGTCCAGCGGACATGTGAGCCTGAATTGCGTGGGTTTTTGTAATTGTTACATCGCAGTGGTCAAATGTGTTTAAAACCATATTTGTTAGCACAGCTCATGATGTGCTCCAAAGAAACAACACACTTTGCTGTGAACACTTTTCACTGCCACTTTTCCACTGAAACACTATAAAAGGATAACGCGACACAAAATACGATCTTTCATTTTCAATCAGTCACGAATGGCGCTTCTAACAATAAATTTAAGGAATGTTGCTATTGGCCGACTGCGAGCAGGAGAAAGTCAAAGTCAGGTGGCCAGGCATCTAAACGTGCATCAGATTAGTGGCACCGGTTCCAAGCCACTGTTTCAGTTGAAGATCGACATAGCAGTGGACGACCCATCGTGACAACAGCAACAGAGAATCACTTTATTCGGCTTCGTCACCTCAGAGACAGGTTTACAACAGCTTCCCTAACTGCACAGGCAGTGCCTCTAGAACGTCATGTGTCTGATCAAACTGTTCGGAACAGACTGCATCATGTTGGACTTTGGGCTAGACGACCACACCGAGGACCTCTCCTTACGCGTCGCCACCGCCAAAATTGACTGCTTGGGGCCAACCAACATCGTCCCTAGGCAAGTGACAATCAGTGGAGACGTGACAGGTTTAGTGACGAATCTGTCTTTTTGTTGCACCGTCATGGTTGACGGCGTAGGGCCTACCGTAGACAAAATAAAGGTTTAGCCCAAAATTGTGTTGATGAAGCTCTGCTGCACGGTGGTGGAGGTGTAATGGTACGTGGAATGATCAGTTTATACGAAGGGAGACAATTTATACACATTGAAGGAAGCTTGGAGGCGCAACGATACATCCGTGAAATTATTCGACCACATGTCCTTCCATTTAGGATGCCAACAGATATCTTTTTCAACAGGACAACGCCTGACCCCATTCTTCACAGTTGATCACGCAGTTCCTGGCTGCCAATATCGTTCAAACCCTTCCCTGGCCATCCCTGTCTGCAGACATGAGTCCGATTGAGCTTATGTGGGATGAGCTGTAAAGACGTGCTTGTCAACGAAACGTTGCTCCAGCCAATGGCCATGATCTTTTCCAGGCACCCCAGGAAGAGTGGGCAGCCATCCCAAAGGCCCACATCAGACATCTGATCGCATCCATGCTCAGGAGATGCCATTCACTGATCCACACAAGAGGAGGCCATACACTAAACTAATGGCAAAGGCCTACGCCTAAAAATTATCGTGACCTAGATGCAAAAAAAGGTGTCACCTGATTGGTGAAACCCTAAGGTACTCTTGTGTGAAATTGGAGTAATTTCACTTACTGCATGCATTACAAAGATGCAGAATGTTAAAATTGTGAGTATGTTTGTTCCTTTCAGTAACTATGCGTTTCTTTTTTTTTTTTGAACAGTATACATTGAAGAATCTGTATTGTTGAATTTGCCTCCATCTATTTCTGACGTTATGTGGCTACTTGTCTCCCTTGACAGGTGCCCGTGCGAGCACTGACGGGCGACATTGTTCTGAAAGCTGGTAGACGGTTGGACTTTAAACTGGACATTCTTCAGCTGACCACACGTGGCCTGGTCAAGGTTGGTGTGGACATTTGCTTGTTGTCTGTCCAGTTGTCGTCTCCCGAGTGTCGTAGCTATAACCCCTGGTTGGAGATATGATGCAACAGGCTGTATATCGGTCATGTGACCATATCGACAATGTCTTTTGGTGTGTTCAGGTGGAAGATTGGCCAATGAAGCTTGGACATTAGGACGACGGACGCTGGTATGTATGTTTGTGTGTGTGTTTGTTGGTGGGCGTAGCACGTCATGAATGAGCTTCTGGTAGAGATTAGACTAACTCTGAGCGAGCTTACTGGTAAGTGATATTTGACAGTCCCAGTGAAATGATTGGTAGATATTACAGGTTTCTTGTCAGGCTGACTGCTAGAAATCAGAACTTATCTATGGAGCACACTGCTACAGATGAGAACGTCTCTATGGAGCATACTGCTAGAGATGAGAACGTCTCTATGGAGCATACTGCTACAGATGAGAACGTCTCTATGGAGCATACTGCTAGAGATGAGAACGTCTCTATGGAGCATACTGCTACAGATGAGAACGTCTCTATGGAGCATACTGCTAGAGATGAGAACGTCTCTATGGAGCATACTGCTAGAGATGAGAACGTCTCTATGGAGCATACTGCTAGAGATCAGAACGTCTCTATGGAGCACACTGCTAGAGATGAGAACGTCTCTATGGAGCATACTGCTAGAGATGAGAACGTCTCTATGGAGCATACTGCTAGAGATGAGAACGTCTCTATGGAGCATACTGCTAGAGATGAGAACGTCTCTATGGAGCATACTGCTAGAGATGAGAACGTCTCTATGGAGCATACTGCTAGAGATGAGAACGTCTCTATGGAGCATACTGTTAGAGATCAGAACGTCTCTATGGAGCACACTGCTAGAGATGAGAACGTCTCTATGGAGCATACTGCTAGAGATGAGAACGTCTCTATGGAGCATACTGCTAGAGATGAGAACGTCTCTATGGAGCACACTGCTAGAGATGAGAACGTCTCTATGGAGCACACTGCTAGAGATGAGAACTTATCTATGGAGCACACTGCTAGAAATCAGAACGTCTCTATGGAGCACACTGCTAGAGATGAGAACGTCTCTATGGAGCATACTGCTAGAGATGAGAACGTCTCTATGGAGCATACTGCTAGAGATGAGAACGTCTCTATGGAGCATACTGCTAGAGATGAGAACGTCTCTATGGAGCATACTGCTAGAGATGAGAACGTCTCTTTGGAGCATACTGCTAGAGATGAGAACGTCTCTATGGAGCATACTGCTAGAGATGAGAACGTCTCTATGGAGCACACTGCTAGAGATGAGAACGTCTCTATGGAGCATACAGCTAGAGATGAGAACGTCTCTATGGAGCATACAGCTAGAGATGAGAACGTCTCTATGGAGCACACTGCTAGAGATGAGAACGTCTCTATGGAGCATACAGCTAGAGATGAGAACGTCTCTATGGAGCACACTGCTAGAGATGAGAACGTCTCTATGGAGCATACTGCTAGAGATGAGAACGTCTCTATGGAGCATACTGCTAGAGATGAGAACGTCTCTATGGAGCATACTGCTAGAGATGAGAACGTCTCTTTGGAGCATACTGCTAGAGATGAGAACGTCTCTATGGAGCATACTGCTAGAGATGAGAACGTCTCTATGGAGCACACTGCTAGAGATGAGAACGTCTCTATGGAGCATACAGCTAGAGATGAGAACGTCTCTATGGAGCATACTGTTAGAGATGAGAACGTCTCTATGGAGCACACTGCTAGAGATGAGAACGTCTCTATGGAGCATACAGCTAGAGATGAGAACGTCTCTATGGAGCACACTGCTAGAGATGAGAACGTCTCTATGGAGCATACTGCTAGAGATGAAAACGTCTCTATGGAGCACACTGCTAGAGATGAGAACGTCTCTATGGAGCACACTGTTAGAGATGAGAACGTCTCTATGGAGCACACTGCTAGAGATGAGAACGTCTCTATGGAGCATACAGCTAGAGATGAGAACGTCTCTATGGAGCACACTGCTAGAGATGAGAACGTCTCTATGGAGCATACTGCTAGAGATGAGAACGTCTCTATGGAGCATACTGCTAGAGATGAGAACGTCTCTATGGAGCACACTGCTAGAGATCAGAACGTCTCTATGGAGCACACTGCTAAAGATTAGAATCTCTAGGGAGCGAACTACTAGAGTTTAGAAAATCTTCAATGATCTGGCTGTTATACAATAGAAGGTCTCTAGGGAGCTGTGTCTTCGACGCTGGTGAACTCGTTGTTTTAGAGCGCAAATCAAGATGTTGACGAAGATTCGATTCCAATGTGGAAGGTTAAAAAAAGACCGTTCTCCGCTTTCAGACAGTAGTTCCAGAGTTTTGCCATGGACGAGATTGGGGCCTTACGTCATAATATCCCTAAAGTTCGCAAAAGATACATGGCGGCCAACCTTGATTGTGGAGACGGTACATGTGTAACGCACCACGGCTCCACTCGAGCCAGACGAGCACCTGCACCAGCTGGCTCTCAGAACTCGGCCATGATATGGTCAGTTACCGGGGCTATGTCAAGTCAACCATGACATGGTCAGTTACCGGGGCTACGTCAAGTCAACCATGACATGGTTTATTGCCGGAGCTTGTTCAAGTGAAGCATGCCATGGTCAGTTGCCAAAGCTAGGTCAAGTCAACCATGACATGGTCAGTTACCGGGGCTATGTCAAGTCAACCATGACATGGTCAGTTACCGGGGCTACGTCAAGTCAACCATGACATGGTTTATTGCCGGATCTTGTTTAAGTCAAGCATGCCATGGTCAGTTGCCAAAGCTAGGTCAAGTCAACCATGACATGGTCAATTGCTGAGGCTAGGTCAAGTCAACCATGACATGGTCAATTGCTGAGGCTAGGTCAAGTCAACCATGACATGGTCAGTTACCGGGGCTAGGTCAAGTCAACCATGACATGGCCAGTTGCCAGAGCTAGGCCAAGTCAATAATGACATAGTCAGTTGCTGAGGCTAGATCAAGTCAACCATGACATGGTCAGTTGTCAGAGCTAGGTCGTCAACCATGACACAGTCAGTTACTGGGGCTAGGTCAAGTCAACCACGACATGGTCAGTTGCTGAGGCTAGGTCAAGTCAACCACGACATGGTCAGTTGCTGAGGCTGGGTCAAGTCAACCATGACATGGTCAGTTGCTGAGGCTAGGTCAAGTCAACCACGACATGGTCAATTGCTGAGGCTAGGTCAAGTCAACCACGACATGGTCAGTTGCTGAGGCTAGGTCAAGTCAACCACGACATGGTCAGTTGCTGAGGCTGGGTCAAGTCAACCATGACATGGTCAGTTGCTGAGGCTAGGTCAAGTCAACCCCGACATGGTCAATTGCTGAGGCTAGGTTAAGTCAACCACAACATGGTCAGTTGCTGAGGCTAGGTCAAGTCAACCACGACATGGTCAGTTGCTGAGGCTAGGTCAAGTCAACCACGACATGGTCAGTTGCTGAGGCTAGGTCAAGTCAGCCACGACATGGCTAGTTGCCAGAGCTAGGCCAAGTAAATAATGACATAGACAGTTGCTGAGGCTAGGTCAAGTCAACCATGACATGGTCAGTTGCTGAGGCTGGGTCAAGTCAACCATGACATGGTCAGTTGTCAAAGTTAGGTCAAGTTAATCATGACATGGTCAGTTGCCGGAGGTGGATCAACGACACACAAACATGAGGAACTCTGGAACTTAGGCGGTTGGCACTTGATGATGTTGTCGTTCCAAGGGAAGAAGAAATGTTATCACATACATATGTTTAAGGGAAGAAGAAATGTTATCACATATGTCCAAGAGAAAAAGAAATATTTTCACATATGTCAAAGGGAAGAACCAATGTTATCACATATGTCCAAGGGAAGAAGAAATGTTATCACATATGTCCAAGGGAAGAAGAAATGTTATCACATATGTCCAAGAGAAAAAGAAATATTATTACATATGTCAAAGGGAAGAACCAATGTTATCACATATGTCCAAGGGAAGAAGAAATGTGATCACATATGTCCAAGGGAAGAACCAATGTTATCACATATGTCCAAGGGAAGAAAAAATGTGATCACATATGTCCAAGGGAAAAAGAAATGTGATCACATATGTCCAAGGAAAGAAGAAATGTGATCACATATGTCCAAGGGAAAAAGAAATGTGATCACATATGTCCAAGGGAAGAAGAAATGTGATCACATATGTCCAAGGGAAGAAGAAATGTGATCACATATGTCCAAGGGAAGAAGAAATGTGATCACATATGTCCAAGGGAAGAAGAAATGTGATCACATATGTCCAAGAGAAGAAGAAATGTGATCACATATGTCCAAGGGAAGAACTAATGTTATCACATATGTCCACGGGAAGAAGAAATGTGATCACATATGTCCAAGGGAAGAAGAAATGTGATCACATATGTCCAAGGGAAGAAGAAATGTGATCACATATGTCCAAGGGAAGAAGAAATGTGATCACATATGTCCAAGGAAAAAAGAAATGTGATCACATATGTCCAAGGAAAGAAGAAATGTGATCACATATGTCCAAGGAAAAAAGAAATGTGATCACATATGTCCAAGGAAAGAAGAAATGTTATCACATATGTCCAAGGAAAGAAGAAATGTGATCACATATGTCCAAGGGAAGAAGAAATGTGATCACATATGTCCACGGAAAGAAGAAATGTGATCACATATGTCCAAGGAAAGAAGAAATGTGATCACATATGTCCAAGGGAAGAAGAAATGTGATCACATATGTCCACGGAAAGAAGAAATGTGATCACATATGTCCACGGAAAGAAGAAATGTGATCACATATGTCCACGGAAAGAAGAAATGTGATCACATATGTCCACGGAAAGAAGAAATGTGATCACATATGTCCACGGAAAGAAGAAATGTGATCACATATGTCCAAGGGAAGAAGAAATGTGATCACATATGTCCACGGAAAGAAGAAATGTGATCACATATGTCCACGGAAAGAAGAAATGTGATCACATATGAGCATTGGAATTTTGAGGTTTACTTTGAGTTGATTGTTGCTAGGTGCATGATTATTCTCTCTACACATACCAGTCGGATACGATTATTATTTGATGACGAATGTGTCTACAGGTGTGTGTTTACATGTATGCACATTTTTTGGTTCTTAATTTATAACGTACCCCAAACACGAAATCCCCGTGGGAAATCCACAGCTGACCTGACAGTCCATTATTTAAAGGGGTGGAAGTGTGCTGTTTTTTTTTTTTTTTTTTTTTTTTTAGTGTTTATCTAGTGTCTTCTAATCCTAACCCTAACCCTAACCCTAACCCTAAACTTGGTTGTACATAAATCGCGAGAAACTACAACCTGAAAACCCTAGAATTTATTGGGAATGTCTCCTGTGACGTAGTCGTGACGTCAGTGGTAAGTTATAAATTAAGTACCCATTTTTTTGTGTGCTTCTTAGTCTCTCCTGTTACTCTTTCTGTCTTCTAGTTTGTGTCTGTCTCATTATGTGACACTTCAGCATCAATGTCTCTCACTTCTCTCTCTCACTGTGTACCTTCATCTTCCAGTCTCTCTCCCTCTCTCACCCTGCATCTTCTGTGTCTCTCCCTCGCCACCTTCTCTCGTCTGTGTCTTTTATCTGTGTGTCTTTGTGGCTGTCTTTATGTTTCAGTATCTATTCTCCTCTGTCTGTGTATGTGTGTGTGTGTGTGTGAGAGAGTATGGCCGCACTGTATGTGTGTGTATAGCAGCCGTATGCATGTGTGTGTGTGTGTGTCTGTGTGTGTGTGTGTGTGTGTGTGAAAGTATGGCCGCACTGTATGTGTGTGTATAGCAGCAGTATGCATGTGTGTGTGTGTGTGAGAGAGAGTATGGCCGCACTGTATGTGTGTGTATAGCAGCCGTATGCATGTGTGTGTGTGTGTGTGAGAGAGTATGACCGCACTGTATGTGTGTGTATAGCAGCAGTATGCATGTGTGTGTGTGTGTGTGAGAGAGTATGGCCGCACTGTATGTGTGTGTATAGCAGCCGTATGCCTGTGTGTGTGTGTGTGTCTGTGTGTGTGTGTGTGTGTTTGTGTGTGAGAGTATGGCCGCACTGTATGTGTGTGTATAGCAGCAGTATGCATGTGTGTGTGTGTGTGTGTGTGTGAGAGAGTATGGCCGCACTGTATGTGTGTGTATAGCAGCAGTATGCATGTGTGTGTGTATGTGTGTGAGAGAGTATGGCCGCACTGTATGTGTGTGTAAAGCAGCCGTATGCATGTGTGTGTGTGTGTGTGAGAGAGTATGGCCGCACTGTATGTGTGTGTATAGCAGCAGTATGCATGTGTGTGTGTGTGTGTGTGAGAGAGTATGGCCGCACTGTATGTGTGTGTATAGCAGCCGTATGCATGTGTGTGTGTGTGTGTGTGTGTGTGAGAGAGTATGGCCGCACTGTATGTGTGTGTATAGCAGCCGTATGCATGTGTGTGTGTGTGTGTGTGTGTGTGTGTGCATTTGTTTCTATACGAGGCTAGAAAGCTGTAAAATCTACAAGCAATCAGAGATAAACCTTCAGCGGACATGTTTGTGGCCATGTGATGTGTGTTCGATATGCGGCTGATTCTGTCGTAGTCTACTGGCCATGTGATGTGTGTTCGATATGCGGCTGATTCTGTCCTAGTCTACTGGCCATGTGATGTGTGTTCGATATGCGGCTGATTCTGTCCTAGTCTACTGGCCATTAGAGGCTGCTACATGGATATGGTACATATTTGTACCAGAGATAACGGATATAGATTGTTTTTTTTTTTTTTCTTGCAAAGAAAACAGAGGGTAGATGCTTGGTTTCACAACAGTAACAGAGGGTAGATTGCTTGTTTTTTTCTTTAAATGTGACAAAGGGTAGATTGCTTGTTTTTACAAATGTGACAGAGGGTAGATTGCTTGTTTTTACAACTATAACAGAGGGTAGATTGCTTGTTTTTACAATTGTAAAATAGTGTATATAGCTTATTCCTTACCAGATGACACACACACAGACACATGCATACTGCTGCTATACACACACAAACATTGCGGCCATACTCTCTCTCTCTCTCACACACACACATTCATAGTGCTGCAACACATTTATGTACACATATTGCTCCCACACACTAACACACACATACACGCAGTAATAAAACATGCAGTCTGACATATTTTCTCAAGAGCAAACACTTTTTTCCCTAACAGCCACTAGAACTAGTGACGTGAGAACTAATGTATCTATATACTTATCTTAAACCATTTTGTGTAACTTCTGTCTCTGTCTCTCTCTCTCTCTCTCTCTCTCTCTCTCTCTCTCTCTCTCTCTCTCGATCTGTTACTTAGCCTCCCCCACTCTTTCTCACTCTTTCCCTGTCTCTGATCTTGTCTCTTCCTCCTAAATCCTCCCACTCTACCGATCTCTTCCAGGTGATCCCCTGCATTCCCCTCCCTCACTTTCTGATTATAACCGCCCCTCCTCTCTCTCTCCCGCCCTCTCTCTCCCACCCTCTCTCTCTTTCACCCTCTCTCTCCCACCCTCTCTCTCCGAAAATAAAGATTGTTCGTTCGTTCGTTCTCTCTCTCCCACCCTCTTTCTCCCACCCTCTTTCTCCCACCCTCTCTCTCTTCCGACCTCTCTCTCCCACCCTCTCTTTCCCACCCTCTCTCTCCCACTCTCTCTCCCACCCTCTTTCTCCCACCCTCTTTCTCCCACCCTCTATCTCCCACCCTCTTCTCCTCCCCTCCTCTCTTTCTCCCCCACTCCTCTTTCTCCCCCCCTCCCTCCTTTCTCACCCCTCTCCTTCTCTCTCCCCCCCACCCCTCTCTCCCACCCTTCTCCCTCTCTCCCCCTTCTTTCTTTTCCTCCCATCCTCTCTTTCCACCCTCTCTTTCCCACACACACTCTCTCTCCAACCCTCTTTCTCCCACTTTCTCCCACCCTCTCTCTCCCACCCTCTTTCTTCCACCCTCTCCCTCCCACCCTCTCTCTTCCACCATCTCTCTCCCACCCTTTCTCTCCCACCATCTCTCTCCCACCCTCTCTCACCCACCCTCTCTCTCCCACCCTCTTTTTTCACCCTCTCCCTCCCACCCTATCTCTCCCATCCTCTCTCTCCCACCCTCTTTCTTCCACCCTCTCCTTCACCCTCTCTCTTCCACCATCTCTCTCCCACCCTCTCTCTCCCACCCTCTCTCACCCACCCTCTCTCTCCCACCCTCTTTTTTTCACCATCTCTCTCCCACCCTCTCCCAGATAAATAAATAAACGTAGATTGCTAACAAGACTGCTGGGGAAGCTCTAGCTCTAACAACGAAAGTCTGACTATATGAATACAAGGGCTCATGACTAATCATTTGTCCGCATATAAACATTTCAGTTTTGTGCAAAGTAATCGTGGTCCTGTGTCCTGCCATAAACATTTCAGTGTTGTGCCAAGTAATCGTTGTCCCATGTTCTGCCGTAAACATTTCAGTTTTGTGCCAAGTAATCGTTATGTTGTGTCCTGCCATAAACATTTCAGTTTTGTGCCAAGTAATCGTTATGTTGTTTCCTGCCATAAAAATTTCAGTTTTGTGCCAAGTAATTGTTCTCCTGTGTCCTGCCGTAAACATACCTAATGATGAAACTGTCTTCCGTACTTGTGGACAGGGAGGCGAGTGGAGGGTGTCCACTGGAATCAACGTGACCCACGGAGAGAACATTTTCTTCGGAAACCCGTTTGGAAACAAAACGCTGGTTGTGACCACTCTCAAGGTGAGCTGTCCTATGTCCTGTCAATGTGATCCCATGTTCTGTGAGTGGTTTCCTGTCAGTATGGTCCCGTGTAATGTGGGTGGTGTCCTGTCAGTATGGTCCCGTGTAATGTGAGTGGTTTCCTGTCAGTATGGTCCCTTGTAATGTGAGTGGTGTCCTGTCAGTATGGTCCCGTGTAATGTGAGTGGTGTCCTGTCAATGGTGCCCTATGTCCTGAGAGTGGTGTCCTGTCAATTTGTCCCATGTCCTGTGAGTGATGTCCTGTCAGTGTTGCCCGATGTCCTGTGAATGCTCTCTCATATTCTGGAAGCTATCACTTCACCTGAACAATTATTTTAGAGGACTCATCATGGAAGGATAATAAGGTCAAGAAAACATAGAAAATAAAACATAAACAATATGTCGGCTTTATAGAACAATAAAAAAAATGGCGTTAAGGTTATTAGCTTTCTTCAGCAGAACAATGACGATCAAAAAAGAATAGTTACACAGTGTCAAGTATTTTGTAAAGAAATTAAAGAAAATACTGATAAAAGGCTGAAACGTATGTGATTCTTGTCTGGACAGCTGTAAAGAGTTTATATCGGAGAGCTCTAGAGCTAAGGAGTGTGTGATTTGTGTGTGTTCTGGCACCATGCGTAGAGGAAGAGGGGGAGGTGGAGAGAGAGAGACAGAGATAGAGAGAGCAGTAAGTGGTACGTTTTGTTTGCTGTACGAAACTCGAAACTCTCACTTTTAAACATAATAACATGCACACACTCACATAACATGCACACACTCACATAACATGCACACACTCACATAACTTGCACACACTCACATAACATGCACACAGTCACATAGCACGCACACAATCATATATTTATGGACAGAAGCACGCAAGGGCCCCTCCCCCCGCCCCACTCCCATCCATTCTCCCCACCACAAGCGTACACCGTGAGACACAGAACTTCCTGCAAGATGATTTGAATCAGGCATTGATTAGACACACGATATCTACGTTTGGCCTCCATGCCACAGTTCCCTCACACTGCCCCCAGAAAGATCTATTTGACTACAGTGATTTTGTGGCAGTCAACCCGATCCTACCAGAAGTAGAGGCCGCTCCTCTGACAACCACCACCACCAAACACATTGCAGTTAGATTTCAATCACCCGAGAATCCACGGGCATGGGGTCACAGGGGTAACCAGAACTGAAATGTTGACACTTGTCTACCTAGACATGCTCATTCTTGTCTGTGACACTTGCTGGCAGGGGCGTATCTCCGAAAGCCGCCCCGCCCACACCTCTCTGACACCAGTCCCGCCGTTATAGAGCCCCGCTGAGACTGCCGTCCTGACTCAGTCTTGAGCCTGACACCCCTGTCACTAGAGGCCGCTTACAACTGTGATCTGCCAGGTCTGGGAATACATCTCTCTAATTAAACTTGTCAACTCTTCGACAGCAACAAGCCAGCTCTAGAGTTATGCTCATGAATAAATGTGCACACACACACACACACGCAACATCACTTTATTGTAAAATATATTTGCTTCGATTGTGTGCCTGCTTCACGTGTGTGTAAGTGTGTGAGTGTGTGAGTGTGTGTGTGTAAGTGTGTGTGCGTGTGTGTGTGTGTGTAAATGTGTGTGTATGTGTGTGTGTGAGTGAGAGAGTGTGTGTGTGTGTCTGTCTGTTAAGGAGTCAGTATGTTAAGAGAGGCGCGCGCGCGTGTGCTTGGATGAAAATGCCGCACCAGTAACACCCAGAGCCGCTGTCACAACTTGCTCCTGCATGGAGTGGCTGATGTTGGGGCTACAGGAGATTCTGAACCGTTTCCTGTTAGCTTAAATCACAAACTGTTGTCATCATCATCATGTTGTAGGGCATTAGTAGAATGTCGCTCTCAGCACGGTCTCACTGAAAGACCCCCCCCCCCCCCCCACACACACACACCCCCCCTTTTACCCCAGTGCTACACTGTGAAAAATGCTTCTGTTATTTATATCTGTCTGTGATGTCATTCTTATGTTTCCTTTGTCGTTGACTGGATTTCTCTAGTCTGTTCTCTGATCCGTACCGTCTACATCACCAATGTTTTCTCCCGAACCTAGACATTTTATCCACAATCCACACAAATCATTGACTAATCCACCTAGAAATTGTATCCACAATCCACACAGATCATTGACTAATCCACCTAGACATTCACAATGCACACAGATCATTGACTAATCCACCTAGACATTTTATCCACAATCCACACAGATCATTGACTAATCCACCTAGACATTTTATCCACAATCCACACAAACCATTGACTAATCCACCTAGACATTGTATCCACAATCCACACAGATCATTAACTAATCCACCTAGTCATTTTATCCATAATCCACACTTATCATTGACTTATCCACCTAGACATTTTTTCCACAATCCACACAAGTCATTGACTAATCCACCTAGACATTTTATCCACAATCCACACAGATTATTGACTAACCCACCTAGACATTTTATCCACAATCCACACAGATCATTGACTAATCCATCTAGACATTTTATCCACAATCGACACAGATAATTAACTAATTCACCTAGACATTTTATCCACAGTCCACACAGATCATTGACTAATCCACCTAGACATTTTATCCACAATCCACACAGATCATTGACTAATCCACCTAGACATTTTATCCACAATTCACACAGATCGTTGCAAAATCTACCAAGACATTTTATCCACAATCCACACAAAACATTGACTAATCCACCTAGACATTTTATCCACACTCCACACAGATCATTGACTAATCTACCTAGACATTTTGTCCACAATCCACACAGATCATTGACTAATCTACCTAGACATTTTATCCACAATTCACACAGATCATTTACTAATCTACCTAGACATTTTATCCACAATCCACACAGATCATTGACTAATCCACCTAGACATTTTATCCACAATCCACACAGATCATTGACTAATCCACCTTGTTCATGGATAAATCCACACAGTCTATTCACACATCAACACACACACCACTTGCAAAAGCACACGGATCACCCACAAATACACATAGATTATTAATAAATCCACACAAATCATCCACAGTTCACACAGATCATTCACAAAGCCACACAGATCACCCACAAGTGGTTATAGTTAATATACAGCTCCAACAGATCATCCACAATTCACACAAATCCACCACAATTCCCACAGATAATCCACAAATACACATATTTCATCTACAAAACCAAGCAGAGCATACAAATATCATTCACAAACACAAAATGTGTATCCGTAAACCCACAGTATTCATCCGATAACCCACACAAATTATCCATTAACCCACAATATCCATCCACAAACCTACAATGTTAATCCGTAAGCCCACAGTTTCCATCCACAAACCTGCAAAATCAATCCACAAACACGGGATGTTAATCCATAATCCCACAATGTTCATCCACAAACCTATAATATTATTCCAAAAATCTACAATGTTCATTTACAAGCGCACAATATGCATCTAAAAATCCATGATCCTTATTCATAAGCCCACAATGTATATCCACAATGTCCATCCACAAGCCGACGACCATCGACAATGTTCATTCACAAGCCCACAGTGTTTATCCACAGACCCATAAGGCTCATTCACAAGCTCACAGTGTCCATCCACAAACCCACAGTGTCCACAAACAAGCTCACACCGTTCATCGGTATTCCCACAATGTTCATTCATAAGCCACAATGTTAGTTCATAAGCCCACAATGTTAGTTCATAAGCCCACAATGTTCATTCATAAGCCCACAATGTTAGTTCATAAGCCCACAATGTTCATTCATAAGCCCACAATGTTCATTCATAAGCCCACAATGTTCATTCATAAGCCCACAATGTTCATTTATAAGCCACAATGTTAGTTCATAAGCCCACAATGTTCATTCATAAGCCCACAATGTTAGTTCATAAGCCCACAATGTTAGTTCATAAGCCCACAATGTTAGTTCATAAGCCCACAATGTTCATTTATAAGCCACAATGTTAGTTTATAAGCCCACACTGTTCATTCATAAGCCCACAATGTTAGTTCATAAGCCCACAATGTTAGTTCATAAGCCCACAATGTTCATTTATAAGCCACAATGTTAGTTCATAAGCCCACAATGTTCATTCATAAGCCCACAATGTTAGTTCACAAGCCCACAATGTTAGTTCATAAGCCCACAATGTTAGTTCATAAGCCCACAATGTTAGTTCATAAGCCCACAATGTTCATTCATAAGCCACAATGTTAGTTCATAAGCCCACACTGTTAGTTCATAAGCCCACAATGTTCATTCATAAGCCCCCAATGTTCATTTATAAGCCCACAATGTTAGTTCCGAAGCCCACAATGTTCATTCATAAGCCCACAATGTTCATTCATAAGCCCACAATGTTCATTCATAAGCCCCCAATGTTCATTTATAAGCCCACAATGTTAGTTCCGAAGCCCACAATGTTCATTCATAAGCCCACAATGTTCATTCATAAGCCCACAATGTTCATTTACAAAGCCACACATTTCTACTTCAGTTTTTCCCTTTTCAGTTTCTTTCTCATTCTTCACAGAACTTTCTCAATATTCTTTTTCACGTGAATCATTAAACTAATTGTGGCATGCTTGATGACAATAATTGTGCCATAACCATCTTCTTTGATTGACCCATGGTCGTGTCTCTCGGCCGGAGAGCCATCTCAGTTAGAGTACCAAACATGAAACCATTGATGTAGACGGAGCGCAGCCACGTGTCTTCCCATGCTCCACCGACTCGCATCATGTGATATTTCCTCTCCTGTAACTGTATCATTAAACAGACATTTGTGTTCCTGTGTGTCTACAACATCTTCTTGTCATTTCACTGACAGATTATTCTCTTGTCGCTATTGATAAAATTCTATACATTTTATGTCTCCATTTCTGTCGCACTGACTTGATCGCAAACCTCCGCT